TCGGATCATCCAGGTGGGGCTGCACATTGGTGGTGGTGGAGGGGATCCCCATTACCTGTAAAGCGCTTTGAGTGGAGTTTCCAGAAAAGTGCTATAAAAGTATAAGTATTATTATTAAATCTTATTCTGAAAAGTTTGTACATTTTGGCAAGATACTATCTCGCCCCAGTAGATTCCATCAGAAAGTATATACTATATCAAAGATCAAATTATTTACAATGTCCTCCATCCAAAAACAAAAAAAAAAAAACAACTCATGCCTCTTTCAGTTCTTAGAGGGTGCCTCATTGACAGTGACAATTTTCACTGATGGGTCTATGCATAGCTGCTTCCCAGTTTCACCCACTGGGTTTAACAGGTATTCACACCTGAAGGCATGACTGGGCTGCAGAGCTCCTCACTCCCCAGAACTCCAGCACCCTCTCATGACTGCCACTCGCCCTTGCCATGAAATTATAGTGTGGTGGCACATTCCAAGACACCTGCCCCCGAGCAGAGCCACTGGTGCACCACCAAGAACTCATAATCCCAGATGCAACCACGTCTAGTCAGGGAGTTTGCGATATGAAAGGGGTGTGAAAGTTGCGTAGCAGACACATGGTCCTAGATACACCTCATTCTAGAGACTTGGAGCATCACCTATAACTCTGAAGCACCTTCTGAATGTAGAAGACAAGTATGCCCAGGTTTCGGCCGCTTCCAGAGGAGGTGTCACTGGCTCTTAGTAGCCAGAATATTTCTGCTTTGGATTCAGTTCATTAGTTCACTTGATTAGTGAAAACAGCTGTGGAGTTGGAAGAAGGGATGTTCTGTAATCCATGTGTGCGTCTGGCTGCAAAATGGGCCTGCTCAAGCACAACAGCATTAATGGAGTTAGTAATGGCCAACCTACAGGGTGCTCATGTACTTGCCACCAGAGCTCATTATATAGGGATATCACAAAATATTCAAGCCCATGACAACAACTCCATCTCATATGTTATGCCAAACATCTTGTACCTTCTACAGCACCTCCCAGACCTGGGAAGGTCACCATCCACACTGAAGGACTAGCTTTTGCATGTCACAACTGGAACTTGTTCTTTAGTGGGTCAGTTCATTCACCAGGAACACTCCATACGCAGACTGATTCTTTTATTCAGTGCATTAATGTAATGTACTATATATTCTGCAAGTACAGTGGATGCACAGATGCACTGATTTGTACTTGTTAAAATGCAAAATGTTGACCGTTTCCATTGTGTGATGTCACATATGTTTTGGTTCTTATTCTGAGAAGCACAGTTGGGGTGTCATAGGTATCACCTTAGGGTGATATTTGATTCTGGCTTAACATTTGACTGACATGTGCAGCATATTGTCAAAAAAAAAAATCCAACCCAAAAAAAAATCGCTAGACTACACCCTATGTTATCACTAACCATGGCTGAAAAGCTGATCAACACATTTGTGTTCTCTTGAATTGACTACTGTAATGCTCTACTCACTGGGGTATCTAAATCTACACTGAACAAACTGCAGTATGTCCAAAATTCAGCAGCCATAATCCTGACCAGGTCTAGTGCAAGTGTTCACATTACTCCTATCCTGGAGTCCTTGCACTTGCTTCCTGTCAAATTCCGTGTAGACTTTAAAATCCTCATGCTCACCTATAAGGCTCTGCATGGCTTGGCACCTCAGTACCTGTCTGAACTATTATGGCCCTACTCCCCACCTCACAACCTTCGCTCTTCTAATTCTTGTCTCCTAACTGTCCCCCAAACCCATCCATATTCTCTTGCCCCCAAGCTCTGGAACTCTCTCCCTAAGGATATCAGAGAGTCACCTTCTCTAAACTCCAGACTCAAAACCTTCTTCTTTGGAAGAGCCTTTACTTAACTGGTTCCTTTCTTTACCTCTCTGCTCCTACTATAGTTAGTACCACCATCCACGGTCTCCTCTCTATATTATAATTGTGTTTTATCTTGTGTATTCTTCTTATTTATTGTTGTCATTCTGTAAAGCGCTTTGAGAAGCCATCTTTCAAGGCACTATATAAAATAAAGTTTCTTCTTCTTATTATAGTTTCTGCAATGAAGTTAAAAGTTAAATTTCCCAAATAAAAGGTGGCACTACAACCATGAGTTATAAAACATGAGTTAACCTCCCTTGCAGCACTAGCCTTACTTTTACACTATGAGAAGTGAGAATACGAGAATGAACTTACTGCATCGACCGTGATTTATTTTGAAGCCCCACAGAGCGTATATAGTGGAGAACATCTGGAAAGAACACCACATTTCACATCCACTCACATAAAGTAGTGGGGGAAAGATGCCAAAACATGCATAAAACTAACAAGACTTCTAAAGCTGGGTAAAAAAAAAGTCTCACCAGAGGCTTGGAGCCTTTTATGTCTGTTTTGGCAAAAACCAGCAATGTAGCACTTGCTGTTTAAGCAACAGCTCAACGACCAAGCAAGGAAACCCAAAGCGCAGCTAATTGCAAATAACAGAGCAAAACCCAGCTGCTCAAGTGTTAAAGTAGGGCTATCAATCTCCATGACGGGAAGGGGTAGTGTCTTCTGTGTTAATAGTTTGTTTGCCAGTGTTCTTATTCCCAACATGTGTTGTGAATTAAACAACTGGGTTACTCTATGAGAAATCAACCCTTTTTTTTTTATTTTGGCAAAACCACCTTAGATTTCCAAGAAATGAAGCGCACATATTTGTTGTGTAAAGGAAGGAGTCAAGGCAAATGTTTCTATTAATATCTCAAATGTTGTGGGCATACAGCCTTTCAAAGTGGTCACTTCCAGCCATTTCTCTACCCTCTCCGTCTTCCTTGAAGGCATTGTAACGTCTCATGTGCTACAGACACTGTTTTAGTGTCATTTTAAAGCTCCAAAACCCGTGATATGAGGAATTTGTCCTGTGGAACATTTCACATCACTAAAGGTACTGTAACCTATAAACTAATGCATCCTTCTCCATTTGGAAGGAAAGATTTTTACATGAAAGATAACCATTTTGAAAACAATAGCTCAAAAGAACACCTGAATATCATTTTCTGATGTGCACTTGTGTAATGTAAAGGACAGAAACTTGGCTGGCTTTTTACTATTGGTGTACAGGCATGAAGGAAGGTGAAAAGAGCAGGAGACAGAAGTAGAGTAATGTACCTTTGCGTGTATTCAGACTCGCATGTTATTTGTTACATTTGCATGAAGGATGGACCATCGCTGCCTCCCACAATGTAATTGATCATAGTTCTGTATGCATACAAGACCTCACAGTGTAGTTCAATGCAGTACTGAAGAAAGTGGCTGGCCAAAACATTGCGTTTTCTTTCTTCTTTTTTTCCAGCACAGAATAAACTTATTACGTGGTCTTTTTTAAACCCTTGTCAACCTCTGTTGTTACCACCATTTAGGACAAGGACAAAACATTGTAAAGCAATATGATGTTATACATAAAATGACATTTATGTTCTAGTTACTGAATAACTCCAAGGAACAGGTTGGTTTAACATATTCTGTCACAATTGTTATGAATTTCAAGATTGTACAGTTTGTATTTATATCACTTGCAAAAAAGAATTACAGGAAAACAAAAGCCTATTGCCAGTCATCTGTAAAGGTAGATGATTCCTGTATTTATATTACAGTGCATGTCTTTTTCAGATTGTGTTTTTACTGCCCGTCAGGTGTGAAACATTTCGTAAATATATACATTCTTGATAAAAGATAATTTTAGACACTGCACACAGCACAGGTTGATGAAGGGTATGTAGAAGACAAAAGTTTGTGGGGAAAGAAAATAGGAATGTCAAAATTAAATCTATTTCATAATTCTAAAACTAAATCTGAGAAACAGTGATTGAAAACCCAATAAATATACTGTAATGGTTAATTAGCAGAAACATGAAACATTTCCTCCGACCAAAAGTTAATAAGGTGTACACTTTCAGGTATGCTGAATAACCTGAATGATATATTTATTTCTTTTCACTGCTATAACATTTCCTAGCAGAAGAAAACCTCAAATAATTTTGGTTTAAACAGAATAACTTGCTAAATATTTGAAGGGCCAGAAGATTTTAAATTACTGAGTGGAACCGACACTGTTTCTGATATCACATGATGGAACTATACAGACATCTGAGCTGACAGTTAAAAATCCGTTCATATACAACAGAAGACATGCTCCCTTTCTCTATACACAGAGTTAAAAAAAACAGATGAAAAAGTACAGCACTGTAATCTGTAACTAATAATGAGTTAGAACTTTTATTTCAATGGCATAATTAAATTTGCAGACGACTCTTTCACTTATTGCAAGCAGATGAGTGGGGCCATGAGCCAATTGTAGGTAGATTTGCCATTCGGTGTGAACAGAACTATTTGAAATTGAATGTCTCCAATACCAAATTGATATCAGGAAGAATCCTCAGTGCCAGACACTATTTTTCTGAAGGAAGATTTAGAAACATTTTAAGGTAATTTTTTGGTGATCAGTTGATTATTGAATCGGTTTTAACTTTTACCCTGCGCTATTTACGCTAAATAAAAACAAATTGCATATTGGGCATAGTTTTCTCTCTCAGTCTCCAACTCTTTTTACCTTCCTTCCTGTCCGTACACTCATAGCGAAAAGCCGGTCAGGTTTCTCTCCTGCAGTTTACACAAGCGCACTGTCGCAAATGAGTTTCATTTTTTCCTTTTCGGTTGTTTTCTTCAAAGAGCTCATCTTTCATGAGACAATCTGGGCTTCTTTTTTGACTTTTTACCTTTAGTTTTTTTAACCAAATAGAGCATGAAGCATTTAGTCAACATCCGACCACTGTCAACAATTCTAAAACTTTGCTCATCACTCACTAATGATAACAGAATATCAAGTTACTCGTTCACTATGGGAGCGAGCATCAGACCTGTATACTCTACACCACGAATCCACCAATTTATCACGATAAAAACAAACTCGGTAAATGTAAAACATATATTAAAAAGTTATTCCACTTACTTTTCTAAGAATGCTTTATCCACAGACGTCGCCAGATACAGAAGAACTATATTGTCAACGATTCAGCAATTCTCACCTGTTACAGGTAACTCACAACACACCCGCCAAACCTGTTGCGCCGTGAGCTTTAAATAAGGACCCAACCACTCAACCTTACGAAGGAAAAAAAGTATGTCATATGCAGTTTAAAATAGTTCTTTATTAGAGTTTACTTCTAAGTTTCATATATCTTTTGTAGAATTTGTAGTGCAACGTTATTCTCAATATTATTTTATTTGTAATCAGGCATTTTTTACAGGTACTAAGAATAAGTGGTGACGTATTCGATTGACGGTCAGACAAGACATAGGACCCTTCCAGCGAAGATGGCTTCTAACAGTGGGAAGTCCGTTTTATTCGTGTGTTTGGGTGAGCAAACTCTATATTTTCAGTTTATTCCGCCCTTTGAACATACGTGCAGCAAAAGCATGTTTCAATCACCAATGTAACTGATTTGATTTAGTTATTCTTTGGGTATATTTCATAGCAAGCTCACTGAAGCAAATTAAAATCTCGTAGATGTGCTACAACCGGCATGTGGATGTACTGTACATGCGTAACTGTTCATGAGCCCAGTGCTTTTTCCGATTGGAGGGATCCGAAATGGTTTACAATTAATTGGTAGGGTCTGCTGTCTATTAAGATTCACATGAAAGCAGATTGTTAAAGTGACTTTTGAATTGCACCTACTGGTGAATATACAGTAATAAGGTTTAAGTGCATCGTGGTTGTTATTCTTGATTTAGCCTATTGGGCTGCATTGGTTAAAATTTTACTTCACCGGAACCTTCTCACAAGACACAGCCGAACCGAAAATACTTTATATCAAGGCATTAATTAAAGTCGCGATGCATTTCCTGCAAGTCATACCAGTAACGCAGCAGCACTTGCGGAATGGCGTTCTTTGCTTTCGGTGAAAGTTTCATATGAAAACACCGATTTCAGAGTTGTTACTGTATTATACATATGAATGGATAGCACGACTTTATACGTCCAAGTGCTAGTGGGCAATTTTTTTTAGTTGAGTGCCTATTTGTATTGTATTAAACGTCTATTTTTGTGCCTTTCTGGGGGCTTAGAAGCGTAATACACGTTATCGTTTGGCAATTAACTATCAGGCAGTAAACACCAAATATTGCTCGCTGCAGCATTTTGATAACGGTACAGTTCTAAAACATCGGGCCTTTAAAGATCTTGTGGCTTCCAAAAACAGGCATCTTATCATTTTATAGGTCTTCACATTTTCTGTAATGGCAGTTGACATTCATTTTAAAATATCTTGAGAATTACTACCATCTGTGCTGGTATTGAGACACTTCAGTAAATAACTTGGTTGCATTATCCTGTAATATTGTTTCCCAGTCTTTTGAATAGGAGACAGTTACTAATCTTTGGCAGTATCCATATGCCTCAAAAATATTCCCCACACTTCTACACTATTTTTTATTTTCTTAGATAAACTCATACAGTATTTATTTTTTTAAGGGAACATCTGCCGGTCCCCAATAGCTGAAGCTGTCTTCAGGAAAATGGCAACGGATAGAGGTGTTGTAGGTAATGTAAGTATATAGTTGTGTATTATTTTTACTTCTGCTTTCTTGACAAAAGTCTTTATGTAATGTACTGTAGATGGCCTACACCCAGGGCATCAGATAAGTGAGTTCCCATTTGTATGGCAGGTCAAAACATGAAATGGAAACCATGAAAGTACTTTTCTGCTGCATTTTAGCAGCTGACTTTTTAAAAAACAATTAACTTGAAACTTATTTCTGCTAATTTTACTAAGTGTTTATTTTGGCCCTATAAAAGTTTCTAGGTACAAGTGCTGGATCTCAAATCTGGAGGTCCCGTCAGGAATGAAGGTGAACTGTATCACTTTTGCGCCAGCTGGATTTGAGATTCTGAAATCTATTTCAATGTAATTAATCAAGCAAGGGTACCTGCTCTTTCCTCAAAGAGGTACTTAACAAACAGTGAGCATTTCATGTTTGAAATCTTTACATCTTTAAACGTTCCCAATACGGAATATGTAAGTAACACAAATTACAAAGTCTCCTCTGTGAAGTTTATTCGGTAAGAAAAGGGCATTAATAGGTAGTTTAATTGAAGAGTGCAGGTGGCAAATGTTCTAAAGATACTTTAAAAATGTGCATTTGTGTTATCAGAATTTTTGCTTTTATTTGTCAGACATATTTGCCCAAGTTGGCATGCATTAAAACAATCAGTGATCTGTAAAAGGTAATACATTTAGATATATATACATGTTCTGTACGTGCTTTTTTCTTCATGTAGTGGAGGATAGACAGTGCAGCAACATCCACATATGAGATAGGAAACCCACCTGACTATCGAGGACAGTCCTGTATGAGGAAGCATGGCATATCCATGAGTCATGTTGCCAGACAGGTACAGTGCTAATTTTTCTCTTTCTCCTTCATGAGCCGTAGTCTCGTGTTTTGTGTTTCAGTGGTTTATAGACAGTGGTGCAGTGTCTGACTGGAATGTGGGGTGCTCTCCTGATGCTCGAGCTCTTGCCTGCCTTAGAAAACATGGCATTGAGACAAACCACAGGGCGAGACAGGTAGAGAGATTCATCTCACTTTCATTTTTCTGTGTGTTTAAATAAATTCGGCTAATTGATTGTATAAAAATCATGTGTACCGCTGTCGAAGGTTGCTAGATTTTGATTTGGATTATTTTTTTGAATGGAAAGGTGCCTACATTTCTACCTATGTACAATATCGATGCACAGTAAGAAAACAGTAATTAAGAGACAAATGTAGCAGCTGGTGAAAAAGTGTGCCCTGATGTGTCTGTTCAAGAAAACCGAGAATTGATTTTCTTTTTTTAACCAGAGGCTGCATTTTTATGACTGTCAAGATGTTCCCCTAAAATATGGCAACAGAAAGAAGACAGCTAGCCCATTAGGTCGTTAATTGTTCACTGATCTACGAATCTCTTCCAGTTGTTTCTTGAAAGAAACCAGGGTTTCAGCTTCAAAACCGCGGTAGGGTAGTTTGTTCCAAACCCCCACAACCCCTTGGATAAAATGTGCTTTGTGTTCTGGGTTATTAATGCGCTTTTGTAGAGTCATTTATTGCCGTATGTACACGTACATTGGAATTCTTAATTGTCCTGATCTCTCGGGATCTACACAGTACAACAGACAACACCACACAGTGTAGACAACAGGAACAACAAATATGTTGTGGAAAAATAAATAAATATGCTGTAGTAATGGCAGAAAAATTGTACACTATGTAAAAAGTGCGTAGTGCAGAAGTGCATTAAGGCACAGAAGCTGTTCTTGAGTCTAGTGGTCCTGGCTTTAACATTGCAGTACTGCCTGCCAGAGGGTAGGGGGGAAGAACAGTTTGTGGCCTGGATGGTTTGTGGAATGAATGATGGATGGGGCTTTATTGCGACAGTGGATGTTGTGAATCTCACCGATTGATGGTGAATCACATCCTATAATAATCTGTGCCATTACCACAACCCTTTGTAGTGCATCTCTGTCATGCATGGCAGTACTGCTGTACCACACAGTGATGCCACTAGTGAGGACACTTTCTGTGGTGCTGCGGTAAAAGTTCATGAGGAAGTGCTTCCCTGTACCACATTTCTTTAATCAAGTGCAAGCGCTGTTGTGTAGTTACCATATGTGCCATCTGGTTCATGTTCCACTGTTCATTCTTGTTAAATTTACTGGGTTATGTATTAGTCAATCATGGTTCAGTTCCAGAAGAATGGGACATGTGTTCAGCCCTGCACTGCATCAGGTCACTGTTCTCTGGACTGATTCCAGAGCAGCAATATCTTTTCAGTACAATGGTGAAATAATTCTATGCAGTATTCTATATGAGACCCTGCTATTGTGGTACACAATTATAAACTATTCTACGAAATTATGTTCTAACATTTTCCTTGCTTTTTAAATACTTCCAAATATTGTCTACAGGATGGAAATGTCAACATAAACATCCATTTCTTTTTGGCAGTAGTCTCTCCTGGGTAGATTTTACAGCCTGTAAAAGTAATGATTAATTAACAGAAATGTTTCTATATTTATTATGTAAACATTGCTGTTTTAATGACATCCACAAGTCCTGAAATCCTTTTAATCATATAAGCACAGATGTTTCAGATAGAGGTCATATCTGTGATCACTGCGTTAAAGATAAAAGCATTTAGTGTTTCACAATGTGACCATATTGTATTACTCCAAAACATTATTTTAAGTTAAAATGTAAAGTTGAAAATAAAGGTTTCAGTTTTGATCAGATAAGATGAGTGCCCTATCTGCTGGGTCTAGATTAGTCTTCTGTATTAAAGCATAGTTGTTTCATGCTTTTTTTTAAGTGCTGCAAGCTAATTACTAATTACCAAACTAGCATAGTAAGAGTACAGAAGACTTATGTCATTGAATATGTATTCTAAGTGTCACAGGTGTGTTTGTAAATGAGGGTTTAATGAGTAATGCAAGAGTAGGCGGGGTACTATAGAGTTCTGAATATGTAAAAAACATTCATTATTACCACACACCTGGATTTTACTGTTAAGAGGAATAAGTCCGATTAATGTTAATTGAGTCTGAAAATGATCCATTGCCTGCTACATAGCCCTTAATTTTATTCAGCCAATCATAAACATAATAACATTTTATAGTGTTATTTCAAGCTGAAGTAGTTCTGAATATGAAGAAACCTTTATTTGATCTAATAATACTTAAGAAGATTTGTAAGTAAAAGCAAAGCATCAGTATTAAAATTCATAAGTTTAGTTCTTTAGTAGTAATAAAGGGGAATTTAGAAGTTAATTCCACTGTAGGTTTATAGTTTGCATTTTTCACTGTTAGGGATTTCTTTATTCCTTTTATGTGAGCCAAATCCTTTTTATATCCTTCTATCACAGTTTTATTTAAGCCAAGGAAATGCTTTATTTTCTTTGTAACACCTGAAGCACCAGCAAGACATTTTCTCATCATGATGTTCAAAAAATAAGAAGCATGTCATCACAGTCACATCACTTTCGATTACTGCTCGTCCAGAGGTCACAGTGACCCGGATGTTGTTCTCGGAAGCACTGGGCGCAAGGCGGGATACACCCTGGAGGGCACACACAGACGTAAACGTGCACACTTTCACGCTAGGGACAGTTTACAGAAGCCTATCTGTATTCTTTAAACTGTGGGATATAACCCGTGTCGCCCAGAGGAAACCTTCATGAGAATGGGGAAATGACATGGGGAAAACATGTCAAATCCATGGAGATGGAACCCCAGGAATTGAACTCGATGCCCCAGGGCTGCAAGCCAGAAAACCAGTGTTCCACTGTGCCAACCTAAGATTATGGTACAGATCCATAATACAAATCTGTCATGTATGAGAGTTGTCACAAGGCTACAAATAGAAGTGCCTATACTGTTGTGAAAATTGCTTCATACTGCAAAATAGCAGGTACAGTATTAAAATGCACAATTTGTTGTAGGAACAGTTAATATAAGTTGAGTGTTATTTAGCAAGGTGTGGATGAGTATAGTTGATGCTTTATTTTCACAAATCATTTAATGTCCTATCCCAACTAAATTATTTTACGAACAGAAATCGAGATTTACATAATGTACAGTAATCCCAACTACAATATTTTATTTACTGACATCTAGTGACAATGCAATGACTATCGATTGCATTTTAAATGAAAAGTGGCCCGCTTAGCAAATGAGTTTGACACTTGAATGAGTTGTAAGATTAATCTCATGTTTTGCTCAGTGAAAAGCTTTCTAAAAGTTCAGATATATTATGTCACATTTCCTGAAGTTAACTGATGCACTAATGAAAAAATCTTGTAATTTAGACAGTTCCTCTTGTTGTCTTGTCCTAGATTTGTGGTTTTCCAATCAGTAGGTACTTCATCCTCTGCTCTGAGAAATATCCAGGAGCCAGCAACATTTTTGGTCGATTCAGCTTTCTTTATGTCCTGCCACAGCATCTCTATGGTGTTTAGGTCCTAATCATAACATATTCTAAAGTTTGTTTACAAATACCATGTTAAAATAGTTTATCTGATGCAATTGTACACATAATATATCAAACTTTTACTAATGCGTAAAAGTGACATGTTGAGTTGTAGAATAGGGATTTTACTCAACACTGAATTTTTTCTGTTTTATTTCTTCTGCAGCCCCTCTTGTGAAAATGTGTAGGTTCTGTAGGTGAGGGATATGCCTGTTTTTCAGTCGGTGAAGTGTAGCCTGCGAGGTGTCGAAAGACAAGTGATTCGCAAGAATCTGCTTATACTTCCTCATTCTCCACGGTGCAGTCACAGGGCTCATAGCAGTGAGGCCAAAAGTTAAAGACGCAGTTTGATGTTCCAGATATAAAACTAATCATCAATTTTAAATTAAAAAAGAAATACCAGTGCGTGGGAGGTTAACTGCTGCGGACACCAAGTTTAGACATCAGGGGGCAGGGTAAGACTGTTTGGCAGTGTCTGAGAATCCAGGCAGTGCCTGGAGCATGTTTTTGCTTGAGATGTAAATTAATTGCAGCTATATATGAATATAACATCTTTTAATAAACTAAAAGGATCCTAAAGGAATGGAGATGTTTCTTTGAGACTAAAATGCCCAGTCTTGCAGTAAACTCCCCTGAGAAAGATTTCAGGAATTTTCAAAGGGGATATTCTCTTGGGTTGATATTCAGTTGATACTTCGACAAAAACTAAAAGGGTTATAGTCTGAAGTTTTAACGGTGTGTAAGAGCACAGTGCTTTACCTAGTCACAGTAAAAGGAAAGAGATAGCTACCACTATTGCGGTCAAGCCAGTTTGCTGCATTGGTATGGTGTTATGAATTCGATAGTCGACAGGCTGATCTGTTCTGCTGGTAATTTGAAGAGAACCCTAGGAAAACGGTTGATGGCACTAATCTGAGAAACATGCATAATAGCCACAGGTTTAAGTAAGTTCTGAGACTGAAAGTCATTTTAAGTACAAATAAGCAGGTTCACGGCCGTTCCAAAGAGTGTTAAAAATGACTGATAACAGGAATGGGCCAGCCTGACTGTAATAATGCTGCACTAAAATAAAAATAAAATAGGTGAATAAATACTGCATGAACCACCTGGCATGTGAGCATGTGAAGGTCCCTTACATCCACTATTCAGAAGGAAGATCTGCTACAGTGGTAACGAGGAGTGTACAAATAAAGATTTTATTGTGTTTCTGATGTGTGCTGAACTTGATGGCCAGTACCAACTTTATGTGGATGTTTGAAAATAAAAAAATTATAATAGAACATAAATATCATCATTTTCCTTTATTTTCGTTAATTCAAACATTTTTCTATTGCATTTAAAAATATGTAGAAGAGGAATCCTTAATCTGATCTGTATCAAAAATGTACCTTG